AAAAAAAAAAAAAAAAAATTATATATATATATATATTTATTTATTTATTTATTTATTTTATTTTTTCTTACAGAAAGTTCAAAACTTTTGATCGAAAAAAAATTGAAGGAACTTAAATTTGGTGGCTGAAAATCAAAGTTGAAAATCTTGATAATTCTAAATATATACTTTAATCAAATAGCCCATTCCGCAGCCTCCTCAACATTAGACCCACGATTTAACTGAAGAAAGGGAATCCAAAATCTTACACCCAACTGTCCAGAACCGAATTTAGCCACAATGCAGTCGGCATTCACGTTGAAAGTAAAAAAACAGATTTAAACAAACTAAACAAAACCAGAAAGAAACTAAACTAATTTCTAGAAAATGTTCTAAAACCAAATCTGAAAATACAGAAAATATGAAGGATTCTTATCTTAGCACGTTGGCTTTGATACCAATTGTTGAATTTTAATTTAATCATGCTAAGAATCAAGAATCATCAAAATTAAATTAATAAAACGAATTCATACCTGCGGAAGTCATTGTTGATATGAATAATAGTTGTAATAGCAGTCAAGATCTTCCTCTCCTTGCTTTTCACAAAGTATTAGCTATCAATGGGGCAAGCCAATAAAACATATGAAGAGGAGAAATGACCTAACCTTTATATAGAAATTAATTGAGACATCTCATTACAACCAGAATTCTAATTAAGGTTTATTTCCAACCCACGTACCTAAAATTACCACACCAAATAAATCACAACATGTAAGGTGCAAAAGGTCCAATTAATCACTTAATAAATTTGGCTCAATCATAAATATCATTATGAGTCATACATCTAATCCGTAAAATCTGCAATCGAATGTGAAGCCCACATATGAAATTATTCCAACATTGAGCAGTTCCATTACGAGTAGAATTCTAATTAGAGTTTATTTCCAACCCACATATCTAAAATTACCACACCAAATAAATCACAACCCGTAAGGTGCAAAAGGCCCAATTGATCACTTAATAAATTTGGCCCAATCACAAATATCATTATGAGCCATACATTTAACCCGTAAAATTTGCAATCGAATGTGAAACCCACATATGAAATTATTCCAACATAACATTCATATTCAGACGTAGCAAACTGATAAGAATCAGTACTGTGTGCCGAACCACAATTATTAGATTCTTGTGTTTCTCGAGATGTAATTGAAAATACTTGAATTATGAAGAATCACAGCTATGAAGAAGAATAATAACAGTTTGCGCTTTTACATGTATTATTGAGAATCACGGTTATACGAGAGAATTGCAATTATATGATCAAATTGATGGAACGAACTCAATAACTCTTTAATTGGAACCAGAGAAAACACTAGAAAATCTTCCTCCAATGTTATGATTACCGTTTCCAATTTAATTTTTGAATTAGCTAATGTTATGGGGGTGTAAGGATCTGGTAATTATGGTTGAATCATCTTCAAGTACGAAAAAACTGACAAAAAATTTTGATAGACAACACAGGGCAGAAATTGATTGAAAGATGGAAAGAGAATAAAAAATCAATCCAATCACCTATGATCACGTCAGCATAAGTAGAAATTCTGTCAAGAATTCTTTGTACTCATAGCTTTTTCCTTTCAAGACGTAGTATTTATATACATATTAATATTCTTATTTTTAGTTAAGGTAATTGTGACTTTTTCCTTAAAAAAAAAAAAAAAAAAAACGCCCTATGGCCCAATGAACCTTTTATTGGGCTTTGCACTTCTAGACAAACTTTAAAAATAGTGGGCTTTTCCTTTAACTGATCATATTGTACATGGGATTCGCATTTAGACATTGATGTAGGATTTGACGGCCCACCTAAAGTATTTGACGTTGGATCCCACAAAAATCTTTTCTCCATGGCTTAAGCTAGCTACCACACTGTGAAGTGGGTCCCATATGATAATTTTGTGACTCGCTTTTCGGTCGGTTGGTAGGATGGAAGGTACACACTATTATATATTTTTTAGCCTTCGTTTGGCCCTTTAAAACTCTTCAATTTAATTTAATTCTTCCTCTATCATACTTTGAATCACACAATTTTCAATAAAATAATATTACACTCAAATCGAAAACTTTTCAACCACACAATTTTTAAAAAAACACTATTCTCCCCATTATAAATTCAAATAATGGGGGCCAAAAGGGGGCTTAATAAAGAGAGAGAGAGAAAGGAAAATGCCACGTTAATCGAAGAATTTGGTCAAATTGTTTGACAGAAGATAGTGTAACATTTTGTGATTGGATTAAAAATGTGAATATGTTGTGAACAGTCCAATGATAATATATCACGTAACATTATGTCAAGCATTATGTTATTGTAGCATGATTCAGAAAGAAAATTTCAGGTCATTTATATTATAATAAATTATTTAATCATATTCGACACATTGCACTATGTGTTTGTTTGCTAAAGTTTTATTAACTTTTTAATTAATTAAATATTAATTTTAATCGTATATTTTATTGGATATACAACTCTTTATGATGCATTTCATTTATTTTTATAAAAATTTACTAATTTTTTTTAACAAAAAGCTTTGTCATGCAACCTGATATAAATATACACTCGACGAAGTGTGGATATATCCCCTAAAGAAACAAGCCCAATTTATTATACTTATGAATAATAACATTTTTAAGTATTTATGTCTATAAATCATAGTGATGGACAATTTGTATTCCGATAATATTTGTCACGGCATTGTTTAGAAGATTCCCATGATTAAGTAGTAATAAATCAAGCTTATATAAAGTGGCATCTTAAATGTTAACAGGGTGTTTGATACCCATTTTGAAGAAAAAATAAATTTTCGAATAGTAGATTGATGGAAAATATGTGGATGAAAAATTTTTAATTTACGTGTAATATTATTTTAATAAAGAATGTGTGGTTGAAAAGAAGAGAGAGAAAATGAATTTTGAGAAAAATGAGAATCAAACGGGCCTTAAAACAGTCAAATTAGTCAACCATTTAGTTAGAAGAGAAATAAATGCTAAGCATTTTTTATTTTTATTTTTGACTAATTCACACCTCAAAAAGGTATGTAAATAGTAAATTATGTTGAATCAAAATTACGTGTTTGTTTATATCACGGTGTGTAAGTTAGGTATACTTGTAGTAGTGTGACTAATCTCTAAACTGTACAGAATTATCTTGAATTTTTTTCCAATTATCGAGAATTTTAGTAAAAGAGAAAAAGAGATGTTGAATTTGATGGTGCTATATTCGTAATGACAAAGACAAGGAGAAAGTAGATGTTTTGAGGCATGTGTTTGCGTATTTCTTAAGCCAATATTTGTCCCCATTCCGGTGATGTACACGGATAAGTAAAGACATCTTCAAGATACAAAAGAACTCGAATATGATTTCTTTGTCGTGTACTAATGATGACAACCCTAACACTAAGGATGGAAGAAGCTACTATAGAGAGTCTCTTGTCCTCTATTTGACAAACTTTTGAAAGAGACGAATGCAAGTTATGCAGAGAAAAATAGTTTTTAAGGAAGACGAAGGAGAATTATACAATTCCATATATTTTCATGTATTGCAAACTAGAAACAAACAATTTATCTTATAGATTGTTAAATAATTCTTTTTAAGAGGTATTTTCCTTCACAAGTATATGTGTTGTAATTTAAATAATTAAGTTGGGTTGAAAATAAACTAAATAATCGAAGAATAGGTGCCAAATCACCAATTCTGGGCATTGTCGGGGGCGCACACCCAAAAGCATGGGACGAGTGCCCAAGGGAAGCTTATTTGAAAATTCTCGAACAGAATTGTTTATAAGGTGAGATTGGAATCAGACATTTATCCATTTCAATAACACGTTAAACCTTATTTAAAAAATTAAATTTATTAATAAAAGAGAGCATTTTATGTATTTATATTGTATTTTCAGCTATTGGTGAATGGACTTAAACCTAACTTGAAAAAATTGGCAGCCCATGTGCTAAAGAATTTGGGAACAAATATACTCTTGCTATCAAGATATTGACCCTTGGAGAACGATGGTATACCATGACAAATTACAGTACCACTGCATTTGAGAATTCCAGCATAATTAGTTATTAAATTGTTCTCTCTTCTAATTACAACAAAACATGTCATTTTATATAAGACGTGTGTGACTTGTGTGCACCCAACATGGTATTAACTTTTTAAAATTGTTGGACAATTGCATAGGCGTCAATCAAAGGAGGCCGTTGATTAGGCTTCGACAATCATATAAGATTTTGTGTCAAGAATAATACAATGAACTCGATTTTGTACGAAAACTGCAATTATTCTCAAATGCATTAGTTCACAATCAGTTAAACAATTACTAAACAGGATTAACCTTAATATTTGCAAATGTTAGCATTAGTTGTTAAAGGAAAATAAATGTAAATATAACGTAGTGATTAAATTGCAAAAGTAGAGTTCATAAGAGCATTACTGCCTTTTCTTTTTAATTTAATTAAAAATAAGAGTATAATAGGTACTTTCTTGGCCTTTTGTACTCAAGTCCAACACTCCCAACTCCCTCCAAGAAAAAAATAGCACACACTATGGTAAGGACAACCCTCAAACAGTGTCATTAAGTTAGTCATTATAAGAAGCATAACTAATAACACATTAAGCCTTAACCCACTCACTCTCTAATCCCACCCCACCCACTACCCATCCAAGAAGGGCATGGATGATCAAAGCTCTCTTCTTAATTTGGCACACCTGTATCAAGAAAAGGTGAGAAACCTCTTAATTTCACTACTTTAAATGTAGAATTACTTTTTATGAGTTCATTAATCTTGGTTACAACCTTATAGTACAACATACTTGTATCTACACTCTTCCATTCGACATTCTCAGTCGAATCTATTTGAACTATGATACATGAGATGGATGGATGGAACGTAGACAGTACAATAGATTAGATTAGATTTTAGTTTTACTAGATGTAAGGTGTGTCTTATGTTTTTTGAGCAGGGTGTGGATGGAATGAGGCAATCTCTTTTATTGACTATGGAGTTAGAAGATACTAGATTGAAGGCACAAGATGAGCTCAAAATGAGAGATGAGCAAATAGTTCAACTCAAGATTATGCTTAGCAGAGCCATCAAAGAGAGGGATGAAGCACAAGACAAATGCCAAAAAATGTTCTTTGAGAAACTCTTGCTCCAAAACCATTGCCAAAAATCAATTACAAGCATTGAAGATGAGCCCAGAAGAAGAATGGATTCCATTAATGGCTTTTCTTCCTCAGATTGTGAAGAAAGCATAGTTTCATCACCACCTTCAGCAGAGTTACCAATTATGGCTAACAGGCCATTGCCAACAAAAGGCAAGCTTTTGCAAGCAGTTATGGAAGCAGGGCCACTCCTTCAAACACTCCTCCTTGCCGGCCCTCTTCCACAGTGGCGCCACCCTCCACCACAACTTGACACCCGTCAGATTCCACCACCACCGGTGGTGGTAATTCCAGCACCACCACTAAAACCCTTTCAGCAAGAATTATTACACGACATCATTGCCACCAACAACAACATAAACAACTGTGGCAGGATAGAGAGAAAAAGGGGCTTCTGTGTTGACTTTGATGGTTCCATTGAGTCAAAATATCAAACAGTCGGCTTGCATTGAAATGGTTACCTTCAGACCAATTTTATATTTCAACTTTGATATTTATTAGTGAAGATTAGGAGGGCGGAAATGGAATTGCAAGAAAATTATGCAATTTGTACAGACTACTAAGGTTTGATTTCGGTAGGAAAAATATGATGGTGTAAACTTGACCATGTACCATCATGTTCTCATTTTAGAATAGAGACATTGAGTATCTCGACTCTCTCAAAAGTATTCGTGAAATCTTGGACTTGTAACAAGGGAAAATTTTCACATATTACCTTTTTGCAAGCCTATTAACTCGAATATTTATCCAACGAATAACACCCGATTCGACTTGTTAACGGCTGGCTGGGATCTCATCGACACACTTCAACGAATTCATCAATTAAGAATTGAAAACCACAACAGTCGGACCACTCATAGTAGTAAATAACAAAATTCCAACCGAAATGAAATTTTTTTAATTGTGCTATATTTACATATTGGTTTACACACACATGATATGATGAAATATCATTAAGTCAAAATTTTCTTCAACCAAAAAAACAATTTATATATTCTCTCTCTTTTGACTGTATAAAATTATTATAAAACTCTCTTATGTACAAGTAGCATTATTGATTTTTTATCGTGATATAAAAGTAATGTTTGTTATAAATTTCGAATCGATTACCCAAATCTTTTATCCTTAACTAGGCTCCTACATCCAAATCAACAAAATACTTCAAAATTACAACGGACCGTGTTAACTTTACCTCTCCGTCTTTTAACATGTAATGAGCGAAGCCTATTTAGAACAACGTAGAACATATGAGAATGATAGTTGATTTTTGCTATATTCTTAACAACGGATCCAGAAAACTATTGAAAAAATAATCATGTTCACATGTTAGAACTTAATCTTATATTCCTCTTGTAATACGAAAATCAAAATTGCAAAAAAAATGACAAATTTTCAGCAGAAAATGACGGATATAATTCTGAGGGGTCGGGTCCAACCCCAAAGAAATCTCTTCAAAGACGGGTCCACACGGCAAATGAACGCTCAAATTCAATGCACTGATCATTTACCCCTTGACCCAAAAAAAATCATTCAATTAAATTAATGTATCTCAAGAAATATCACATTCCAGCCAAGCACCACATGCCCATATGACAAATGTCAGGGTCAAGGTCAAGGTCAAGGTCGTCTGATACGCGTTTGATACAGTAGATCGGTTGAACATGTAAAAATGTGTATAGGCCGTCCTATACATGTCTGATGCAATAGACTCGATATAATTATAGAAGAGATGCGTGCCAAAAATTTATAAGTTATTTATTGCCATATCCAGTCTAGTCGAACATACCAAACATTATACAAACTTGCAATGAATACGGATTGTTCTTTTCCTCAATCGTTGTCATTTTCATCTTGATTTTCTCGTTGATTGTGCTTCTGAGCAGTATACATCTCGGCTACCTGATGGACCAAAACCGAATGTGAAGACAACATGAGGCACATAAATCGAGCCAGTGTAAAAGAAACTGAAAGAAAAGACCAAGAAAGGTCAATGTTCTTCACCACATCAGACGACGAGGCCTGCTCTGGACTCTTGTCTTCTCGGATACGAAGCAAACGAGGAAATCGCAGCGAGATCCCCTTTGTAAACAACGTGTAAGGAATATAAAATATAAAACAGATGTTAAACGTGACTCCGACAGTATAATGAATAATATATAAGCTTCTTTTTCTTCACTGATACAATCCAGTACATGCCAAGAGATAAAACGGGATAAAGGAAACAAGACAGCATGATCAAAAGATAATACTCTATTGCAAAGTTCTAGTGTGTCAGATCTAGGTTTTCTCAAGTTTATATGTTCATACAATTTAATCAAGCTTACACACGAGATTCATCATTAAGTTCCATAAGAGTGCAAAAATGGTACCTTATCAGAATCTACAATACCAATGGCAGCACGATGAACAGGGCTTAGAGTCAGATCTGCAGCTTTCACCTCCCAAACCTTGAAAGAGAAGGCAACACAAGGCAAATCATGATAAATGGAAATATTGATATTATTTGTCCTGTTGACTCAACCTTAAGGTACTATATTCACATTACTGGAAAAGATCTAAGAAACAAGCAAAATCTCTTGGACCCTAGACAAATTATGTCTATCCATGCTAAGCTCGTCACTTAAACTAAGTTTGAAGTTTTTCACTTCCTCCCACACAGTGTTCACACAGTATAAATTTTCACCATGGATTGGACCTTTAACCAGACACGATCTTTCTACAGCCATGTTTGGCTATCAATTCTGCTTAAAGACTAAATGCTTTCACTTTCCATATATCTATCCTCAGGTCGGTCAGTACTCAACCTTCTCTTTGCATGCTGTTCCGGTTAAAATTCTGTCAAAGCATGGAAGTTCTATTCGATGTGCATTGTTTCCCCCACTTTGAGCCATTTGCACAACTACTATCAAAAATAAAATTTTCTTATTATTTATCCATCTCTCTTCAAGCCAATAAACAGTACCAGCATGATTGGTAAGCGAGATTCAACAGTCATATAAACAGGAACTTGGCTTCTTTATCTTATTTAATATTCCAGTCTTGTCTATTAATATGTATAAACATGCACTACTATCCATTCATTCATCCTAATGGCCAAGCAGAGTATCTGTGAAGCTCTCATATCACACACGGCACAGTAACAGGGGGCAAAATCCCAATGTTGATGCCAAGTAACAAGGAGAGAATAGTCTCTTTTATAATAATTCATAAAGTATCGTTAATAAAATAAAATACATAAAGTTCTTGGTAAACTGTAGCATTGTGTACTTAACAAAAGAGATGCTTGCAATGAGCATATAATAGAGAAAGTAGAAATTCAAGTAGTATGTAATAATGAAAACCATATAAAGTTGGGAAAAAAAAGATGCCCATTCCTACCTCAGTGGGTTCAAACCAGACATCTGGATTGATTGAATCTGAATACCTGTAGTATGACTGGAAATGACATGTATGTTAGAGGAACCTGAAGTTCCATTGAAAATTCCATAAAAAGGGCAAACCTGCCCCGAAGAAATAAATACGAGTTCGACCTAACCTTTGGCTTGGGAATAACTTTAGAACGAAGGCTGGCAGAACGTTCTTCAAGCATTGCTTCAGAAAATCCAGTGCCTAAAATCACAAGTCTCTATGGAATTTAGAGGTTGAAGATATGAATAGGTAGATAAGTTACTTTATAGCAATAAATCAGCATCAATATGTTCTGTCATGCAGATAGAAGATCATTATATTGACACAATAGCTTAATGCAAAAAGAAAAACATACCAATTTTACAGATGCTTTGAAATTCCTCCTTGTTACTGTCATAACAAGCAAGGAGAAAGGCGCCATATACACCTACAAAAATAGCATAACAGTAATAGGAACTAAACTAAACTAACAATAGATTAGCCAAAAAAAAAAAAAATCTAAAAATTGAAGTAGAGAGGATAAGCACAACCATCAAACTTGTTACATAAAGAATGAGATCCTGAATGTAGTCCATAGTAGACAGCTAATGCATATTGCATGGAAACAGAAATTTATAAATGGTTCATATCATCCTAGTTGAATAGAGTTTTGTTAAAGTTACCAGTTCGCTTTCCCCTGCCATGGTAAGCAGCAATGGGCACCAAATCCAGCGAGTCACCAATACTGAAAGCATAAAAACTTGTTCATAAGTTTCCTGACATGGTAAAGCAGCATTGTTAGTTTTAAGCAGTATGAAATAACACTTGCCTTTCCATGTAATCTTTTTTCAATTTTAACCAGTTGTGAGACCGTTTTGAAGGTTCATATGTAGCATCTTTACTCAATGTTTTGATGATCAACCCCTCGCAACTGTAAAGCACGAAGAGCAAATGACACAAAACAGGAGAAAAAGCCCTCAATTCTAGTTAACTGGTTCTGGAAAAGCTATTAACCCAATTATAATGCAGCACATGGTAAGAGGATTGCCAAATCATCAAATCCTGAAAATATACAGTTACTTGATTTCAATTACTCCTGAAACTTGACTTCACAGTGACCGGCACGGGAATACGTGCACATCTGATGAATGATATAGTAAGGAGATTTCTCAAAAACTAATAATAATATATTATGGACTGACACAAAGTGAGATTTATGCCATCTACCCATCAAGCACTAAGAGAAACCACAAAATTAAACACAATCAAATGCAATGAGTACTTGGCATTGTGGAAAACCAAACAAAAATATTATTATGATTTAATAGCCATTACATGTATAAATAATACCACTGACAAAGTGAGTTAATCTTCATAAGCTATCCACAGTGCAACACCACAGAATAAGGGAATTTAATATCTCCATATTTGTACTTATACACCTAAAACAGAAACCAGATAAGTAAAAAAAGAAAAAGGTGGTCTCCAGTTCTCTTATTGGAATGAGCATCATATCAGCTTCCACGAAAGTCATGTGCAGTGCATTCATGAAAATGTAGGTTTCAGTATTATTGCACAAACATATTATGCATGCATAACAAACTTAACAGCAGGGAAAAAATAACTGACAGAAGCAATAATAGCCATAGGATGAGAGATATAGTTGGCTTTCTAGGAAATGGGTTAATCGGTAAATTGCTTGATATATGTGAAAAATAGGGAAAAAAGTACCAGGACATTTTTGGTTCTCTCTGAAAAACAAGCATCATATCAGCCTAGACTAAAATTATGTAGTGTATTATTGATGATGCCGGTTTCAAGACTATTTAACGAACTCATTATGCATGCATGTCAATAAACTTAATTGCAACAATAAAAAATAAAACGAAGCAATAATTGCCTCTGAATGAGAGGTATAGTTGGTTCATCAGGACACAAGTAAATCAGGAATGACTAAATACGTGGACATTAGAAATTCATAGATCACTACAAGAAACAGATTTTTTTCATAAATCAAAAGAACTTAAGTTACCTAGAATCAACAGCACCATCAAGAAATTTTTGTATTTCCTCTAGATCATTTGATGTTATAGCAGTGGCAAACTGGACAAGACCTTGTTCTTCCTGAAATGACTTGTAAAGATGCTGTACAAAGGCACAGGCTTGAGAGATCAATAAATATTTCATGTCAAGATGGAAGCCAATGAAGTAGACAAACATTGAATTTGTAACAGTCAAATTTTTCAAGGAAAAAGCTCACAAAACACAGATCTTTACTTCATGAAAATCTCAAGCCATAGTAAAATAATTAATTTATAGACTCTTCCTCTTAATAATAGGAAAGTAGGCAATTTATGGATATCAACTTTCAAATTTTACCAAAAGGAACTGAGGAAGATTCCTTTGGAGTCAGTCCCAGGATAAAGATTCAGTAATTAATGCACAAGGCAGATTAAAAAGGACAGGAGATTCAGCAATTGATTCAAGAAGCCTTATTGAAAAGATGGAAGATACAAGTACAAGATATTAGCCACTGAAAACAGTGCTATTAGCATTCATGGATTAGGTGTCAATGTTCTAGAAGAATGAATCCTACAATGACATTGATTCAAGTCCAGTTTAATTGCAGAATAAACATGATAACTTAGATAGAAGGCATCTGGTTAGGAACAAATAAAATCATTCATCAATAGCTACAAAGTCTAAGATAGTTAAGGAGACAAGGTTATTATACCTCTCTACGAATGTCAAGCTGCTCCTGCAGAAGCTCTTGTCCATTAAGATACAAGATATCAAAAGCAAATATGCAAACATCAACTTTGATTTCACTCATGACAACATTTTTACGAGCACGTGTACTGAGGACCTGTCAGAGACATATTTGGTAAGTGCGTAGCTTCATAAGATATTATCTGACATCAAAACAGACGGAACCAAAGATGTTATATTAGGCATATACAATACATAGATCTGGAAAACATAGCCAAGAGAAAACAAAGCGAAAAATAAAATATTTGTTAAGACTTCTGGTTGCATCTTAAAAGTTCAACATTAATAGCCCAATCCTTTATAAAGTTGGTCTATATTTTCATTTTTATTAGTTGTGGGATTTTATCCGTTAACATACTCCTGCAAGATAGTGGCTCATTTGAGTAGATCAATCTTGAAATTCGCGTGCTCATTTTTTGATTTTTAATCAGATCGAATTGCTCGTTGAAATTTAATGGGCTCTGATATCATATTAAGATTTGAAATTCTATTTTAAAATGTCAACTTTATTAAAAGAAGTAGCTCAATCCTTTATAAGTTGGTCTATATTTTCATCTTTATTCGATGTGAGATTTTATCCCTTAAGAAAACTTATTAGCAGATGTAACTGCGAGGTAAAAAATAATAACAATAATAAAAATAAAAATAATAAATTGCGGTGGGGCAGGGCAGTGAGATTTTTTACTTTGCTGTCAAAGACAACATCCAAGATTTTACTTCTCATTAAAGTAGAAAATAGAAATAAAAAACAACCTAAAATAAAAATTATTAACCTGGAAAGGCAGGATTTTCTGTTTCTCACGGTCATATGCAACAAGTTCACAGTCGAGGACAAATGACATTACAGAAGGTTTCTTTAATCTGCAATCACACAGCCAATGTTCAGTAACCACTGACTGAAAAATATAATGTCAGAACTAACTTTTTAAAATTCATGAATTTGTAAAACAGAGAATAAAACTTATGGATGCACGGAAATGTCATGCTGTTTTCGCATGAATGACTACAATACACTAACCATAGTATAAAAGACCATGGAACTCGTAAAGGTAACTTCTAAATAATTTTCCAGCAGAGTCCAGCTAGAAGTACAATTTTATCATTGGATGCAAAGTCCAACTGAAATAGACTAAAGAATATGTATGTACAAGAATTTTAATGCATACATTACGTTACCATAAATGAGGAGGCAAAAGCATCCACTGTCACTAGTCTTGTATTTCATATCAAAAGGACAAGATGCGCGATTTTTTGATAAATTTAGTGGTTTGTTAATGAGTTGCCCAGTATTTAAAGTTGCAATATTTCATCTGCAACCAACCACTTAGATGTTACATTTTACAAGAAGCCCGAGATCATACTAATGAACCCCTATGAAGAAAATGAAAGTAACCATCAGTTTTCATACAAAATCCATTTCAATCAAATCAGCTTTACTGTGTGACATAACAAATCCAATAAAGCATAGCTGTTTCCAATTTTTTTTTTTTTTAATAAATTACCAGTAGAGGAGTAATGCTGCAATTAGTTATCATATTCCATAGATCAATAAAGTGATATGGAAAAGAATACCTTGTGATAGCAGCAACAACATCAGGAAACTTTCCAGTATTCCGTTCTGCATTTCTACTATATATCTCTACTGCACCATTTCCCATATAATGTATCTACATGAAGCGTTATCAGTTATTGCATACGATATTCATGTTGGCCAACCATCAATAACTATAACATATGTCTTTTACAAAGAATCATTACCTGAGCACGTTCTCCATCATACTTGTATTCGCACGTAAACTCCATGTCTTGGAATTTATCCACAATTTCTGATACTCCTTTAGTTGGTTTAGCTAACATGGGTCCAACTGGAATACCTGGTGAAAAGCTACATGACTTTGGGAGATTCCATACACCACCAGCAAGAAGAGCGGGAACAATTTTATCGTAGACCGGAATTACAGAGTAAACTTGTTTCACAATTTTTGCAGCCTGACGGACATAAAGGGTTATATGGAAGATATTAAATACAATAAGAAACGTTCTCTCTTAAACTTGCACATTACATGCATATACTAACATATTAAATGATTTTTGATAGAAACAAACAGAGATAACAGAAACATAAGTCTAAAAGACTCAAAGATATGGTTCTAAAAGATTATTTAAATCTGTTATGATCATTTACCATTTTGACATAACATCAACCAAGGAGATGAGATCAGACCAAATAAGCTATGTCCAAGGACTTATGTAGCAAATGCACCAAATTAGGAAAATAGACTTCCTTTGACAACCATATGTTAAACAACCATGATAATAATTTCAGTCGCTTGAAAGATTTTGAAGTTTTACTGGTGCCTTTTCTCTTTAAAATCCAATGCTCACCAGAGATTTACCCTTGTTATCCGGGATTGGCGTGTCTATTCATCTTCTTACAGCGTTTTCAGACTGTCGGATTACATTCTATTGTTAATAGTCTTAACATTTTGCAGATATTAACAATTCTTGTTTATTCTTCATAGAGTTACCATATCTATGCATTAGAAAGCACCTTGATTTTTGTCATAATTCTCAAACAAATCACATATTAAAGAAGTTTGTCCAGATGTAATGCATAATATTTTACCTCTTCTAATGGATTATCAACATTTGCAGGAGGAGATGACTGCTGCTCAGAATACACAGCAGCATGCCCCAGTGCTGCCAAGAGAGTTTGTTCTGCTAAACCAATGCGCAGCTTTGTCTGCATATTTTACTTATACCATGTTTACAATGTGTGACGAGGTGCAAAAGTAATATCAAACAGTAAGCTTGTAATCACCTGGAGTAGACGAATCAAATATTGAGGTTCGCAATCAGTGGCTGCAACTAGTAGTCCCTTTATGTGAGTCTTTTTCTTCTCTTGACTATCCTTGCCGGATTCCTACCAAAATACAAATATAATAGAAGACAAACTGAGTACAGAATCAAAAAGAAAAAAACCATTTCCAACACAATGACTTTAAAAGAAGAGGGAGAAAAGGAATACCTCTCCCACAATAATGAATAAGTGACAAACAGCAATGAATTGGTAAAATGAAAACAGACAAGACCTCAAAATATCATGTTGACAGGTTGACTGTTTTTAGAGGTGTTTACATGTTGAATAAAAGGAGTGGGAGCGCAAGGGGAAAGGGACAGGGAAGCGATTGAAGTCTTTCAGAGTACACCAATTGGATCCTTTCCCTCCTATAATACTCCACGATTCATCTAGACAAGCATATCTCCAATGATAATTTTTTTATCAAAAACTGAATTATGCCCTTGTTTGAGCCCTGTTTTTTTTTATAAGAATGAATTTTTGAATAGCGTATTAATGGGAAATGTGGGTTAAAAAAAAGGAAAAATTTTGGATTTGATAGTAATATTATTTTATTGAAGAATGTGTGGTTGAAATAATTGTTAAAATACTGTTTAAAAATGTATTTTTTTTGAAAGAATGTGGCTCAAACAAGGGTTATATGTTTCAGGCATTTGTAGAACATAGTAATCAATGACAACATTAACTTCGACTGCATATGTAGCAGTGGGGTATGGGCCCATACCCTCAGAATGAGATATTAAACTGTAAAAATTTTCTCTTCGGATACACGCCAATGACCATCAAAGATGGTGAATCTGAATTGAAGACTGTACATAAGGTGATGACCCCAGATTAACTTCGAACAAACCCAAAAAATGAATGAGGATGACAACAGATTACCTTGGCAATGAGCCGAAATGTATCAAAAACTTTGGCAACAGTTAATGCTTCTGGTTTACGCATCAAAGGCTGTGACGAACGGCTTGCTTTCACAACAAGGCCTAAATCTCCGAGCTCCTATTCTTAGTAAAACATGGAAATGCTGGATTTTAAATTTTAATCAAATCTGGCAAATGGAATCATTAAATATAACCTGGGACCATATAAGATGCATTCCAAAAACTAGATGCACTTATTTATATGCAATAACACCAAACAGTAAAGACGAAGCAGAAACAAGCAAATAAATTGTTACTTTTCCAGAAGAACCGCATGCTGTAAATGGAAGGATACTGCAGCATACAAAGACATCAGCTAGCAGTGTGAACTATAGTAAACCATCATGTGCATATTTCTCATTTACAACAATGATTACCTAAACTAAATATGGTAGCATAATGCTACTTGTCTTAAAAAGAATATTACAAAGTCTACAGTGCAAAATGGTGGGATAGCATTAGCATCTAACAAATTTTGAAGTGAATGTCATTCAGCACCTTTAGACAGCAGCATAGACAACTTAAGCCCTATTGAAATGAGAAAAGTGATCAACCATCTTATATTTAATTAATTGGATGATGTCTAGGAGCAGCTGCTCAAATTCATCCTCTAATAATTCCTTTCGATGATTTATATGACTCGATTGTTTAAATCACCGTGCAAATGTTTCCATTTATGATTTACCACTTCAAGAGCAAAAAACATGGTCTCATTAAGAAATTGATACCAAGATATCACCATCTATAAAAGAATGAACCTCAACATAAAAGACACTGTACTTTTTTGACTTTGCAAGAATTCCAGTCTAAAATTGATCACCAGAGTCCATATGTTCGCAAGCACTGAAACGTGCAAGACTCTGACAAATTTTACTCACTTCCATTTGTTAATTACCTATCCGATGACAAACCCATGTGATGAGAACATCGGACGACGTTTACTTATTTTATTTAAGCTTTATTTATTTTCTTGGACTATTATTTAAATTTGGACTTGTATGGGCTCGGGCCCAAGTTCGTTAGGGTTGCTTTACTATTTAAACCTATTTTGCATTGTAATTTTCAGTTGATGATGAATGAATAATTATTTTGGTGGCTTATGGCGCATCCCTCCCCTTCTTTTATTAAATTCTTCTTCTATCCCCTCTCTTAATTCCCCATTCTTTTTGAATCTTTCTTCTATTTCTATTAATCATCCTATTGGTGCTGCATCAAATTTGGTATCAGAGCCAGATTAGAAGGAAAGATCGGCCCCCTTGGTCAGATCATATTCTTTGGAATAAGCTACAGTTTTCAGTACTATCGATTATGGAATTTCGTTACTTGGTTCGTCAGAAAGATCGTCCCCTGTGGCTCGACTTGAAGCATTTGGAGTATCAAATTAACTGCAGCCTATACTATCTATCAACTCGACAGGGTCGAGTTTTTCTCCCACCCCGGGAGAGTTGATGAGGACATCGGACGACGTTTACTTATTTTATTTAAGTTTTATTTATTTTCTTGGACTATTATTTAAATTTGGACTTGTATGGGCTCGGGCCCAAGCTCATTAGGGTTGCTTTACTATTTAAACCTATTTTGCATTGTAATTTTCAGTTGATGATGAATGAATAATTATTTTGGTGGCTTATGGCGTATCCCTCCCCTTCTTCTATTGAATTCTTCTTCTATCCCCTCTCTTTATTCCCCATTCTTTCTGAATCTTTCTTCTATTTCTATTAATCATCCTATTGGTGCTGCATCACCATGTATGTGAAATGAGTTAAAAAGGACCAGTCTCACAATTGAGAAATGAATATAACTTCGGAGTAAGCATGACTGTGTCAGGATAAAGATCAAGCACTCACATTTGCTGTCACACATCCCGTGTTGTAAAATCACTAAAATTTCTTTTTCTCCTCAGTTTTGTCTCATGTAATACTTTATTTTCAAACAACCATGTAGACATTAAAGCTTCTCCATTACAGCAATATCAACTCTGTATCCCCTTTTTCAACAAAATAAATGATTTGTCTGCAATGTTACTAGACCTGGGTTCATCCACAGCCAGCATGCAGTAATTTACATTAATAATGCATCACACGATAATGTAACAGTGAAAACAAACATATTCCTCCTGAAACTTATGAAAAGGTGAAATTCATTCAGTTTCATCACTAGATAAGTAGATTTACTCTGAAATACACACAAATAGTGGAAACTTCAATTTGAATGGGAATATTTTAATTCATCACCTTGTATTGCTTCTTAATATGCACTTCTTTAGTACCACAAGCCTCTGCAAGCGCCTTGATAATTGAAGAGTCTCCAATCCCGAGCTCCAACCCCTCATGCGCAGGAGCAATCCTATTTGCCAGAAGATACACGACTGCAACCAAATCATCCGGTGTCATTTCAATCACAGTCCTCAGCATATTACACACAATCTCCGTGATCAAGATCCTCCCCGACTCCTTTGATATCGCATCAAATGTCTTCGCCACAAACATAAAAGGTATCCTCTCTCCCTTTCCCCAATATGCCGCTCTCTTCGCATCAAAACTGGTAGCCTTCTTCTTCAACTCCACAATACTCTCATCCGGACTAATCGACACTTTCGCCTTCTTAGCCAGCCCCAAGTCTTCATTCAAATCAGCATTTCTTGCTACATTTTGCTTTGAGCTTGATTCTTGAACTATTATTCTCTCTCGATTACTATTTTCAACAGAGGATGAACCAACTGTTGCTTTTTCGTCGTTTTCCACCGAGTTCTTGAAACGGGCATCATTAATTTGAGCGGAATTTGAGTCCTTGAGGCTTGATCGTTCTTGTTTTACGGTTCTTTCACTTTGAGTCGGAGAATTGTTAGGGTTTAAATGGGGTGTTTGGGAATTTTCAGCTGGGGCCTTGCGTTTCCTGGGCGATGATTGCCGTTTTTCCTTCTGAGTTTGTGAAGAGTTTTGATTTTTTCTTGAAGCATTCGACATGAGAATGTCAAAGGCTGAGGGGAGAGAATCGGACATCGTTCCGTATGTAAACTTTTGCTTTGGTAATGCTAATAAGGGTTTTGAAGAGAAGGGTCCTTGGAGGTTTAGAGAAAAAGAAATGGAGAATTTGAGTGCCCGTTTTCTTGCGAAATTACATGAGAGTGTGTTCAAGTTCCAACAATGGCGGCATGACAGCACTGACAACATGAACCGAAAGGTAGTGGGGTGGAAAGAAATGGCGGGAAAATTTGCCGCCGGTGGAATATGGAAGAGAATCGATGATGGCGGGGCCGGACAAAGGATCCGATTGCCTGGAGTTTAACAGTGTAACACAGCCGGGAGGGCGGGACCTGCTCCTCCAGTGTCCTTCTGTTTGTGTGAAAGAGTTAATTAAATGGATACTCACCGAATTATAGCACATGTTACCACTTTTTCATCGAAGGATAAATGATAATTGAATGCTTACTCAACTTTCTAATTTATCCATCCATCACTAGCCCTAAATTCGTCTGTACAGTTGGCCAATAAATTCCACGTGGAGGATGAAAACTTGACATGGCAATGACGAATACACGTTGGATAAGAATGCAATTGTTAAAATAGCAATTTTATTCCATTTTCCTTCTAAAATGACGATCTACATAGAAGAGAGAAATCTGAAATCCCCAATTGAAACCTAACCCTATGAAGAACCAAATTCGTCAATATAATCTCTTCATCCACTTCTCAGAATCATGAGATTGGCTTCTATCCTGCCGGTATTGCAGAAGTAAAGGAGATGGGCTTATATCCTACTAGTATTGCAGAAGTAATTCAGCATTCCACGATTGATTCTTTGAGAAAGAAGCCTCGGCAAGGAAAACTAAGGAAGAAAATCGAATGGATTCCTCACAATTTTACTTTCCGGTTCTTTTTTTCGAATGAACTCATCAAGCCATATCCAAAGCTGCAATTTGCCAAAGGTCGTCAGTGAATTGATGCAGACTTCACACCTCCGTCTTCTTATGAAATTTCATCATGCAGATTTAATTGTAGATGAATCATATATCCAAATTTTTTTCTTTTTTCTTTTTTCTTTTTATTTTATATCAAGAACGACGCAGACGATTGGAATGAACTGTGCAATGTAAATTTCAATTAATTGGGATGTAGATATATAACTTCTTGGATATGGATTACAAAGTTGAAGTTACCAATTGAATGGGTTAGATTAGAAGATGTGATTTGAAGATGAAGATGATTTGGGGATAAATTTCATCTCTGATTTCTTAGAACTGTGATATTGGCCGTCCAGAAAATAATTGTTAATAATTTATGATTTTGGGATTTAAAAAATAATAATTTTAGATGATGTGGACATAATTCATCGTCCAAGTCATTTTTTTTATATCTATGAAGAATTTATTGGCCAACTGTACAGACGGATTTAGATCTAGTGACGGATGGGTAAATTAATGAAAAGTTGAGTGAACATTCAATTACCATTTATTTTTCAGTGCGCAAGTGGTAACCAGTAGTATAATTCAATGAGCATCCATTTACTTAACTCTTTTGTAAAAACTCCAGTTCTTACTAAATGATTTTCGATAAAAAATAAATAAAAAATAATCTGTTGAAATGTTGTAGTCAAGAACATTGTTCTTGATTGCAAAAAAGAAAATATATTTCAGACCCGCAGGGACAGATTTTTTTGGCTCCATTCGTGGCGGTGTGGGACGGATATTTTTTTGTCATCACTAGCTGAAAATGAATTCGATAAAAAAAATAAATTTTAAAATAAATGTAGACAAACATAGGCTTAGCCCCTGTTTGGCCGCATTAAATTATATTTTATTTTTTTCATTTTTATTTTCAATGCATTCTTTCATAAAATAATGTTACACTTAAATTAAATCGAAAATTTTTCTTTCTTTTTCAAACACTCATTTTTCAGAAAAAATATTATTCTAACCATTTTCGTTTCCAAAAAAGGAACCAAACAGGATTTTATCTAAAATAAATTAAGTCAAAGTAGCGGTGTCAATATAATTAGATAAAACTCATCTTTAATGTTGAGTACGGTTACGTCCGTCGAGTAATAAATTAAGTCAAAGTAACGGTGTCAATACATAAAGCCCTTACCTGGTAGAGATTAAAATCATATTTTAATATGTTTTTATAAAAGTTAATGAAATGTTTAATTAAAAAATTGTAGGTCCCATGAAATATGTAGTTAAAATTAATTATTGATTTCGATTTAAATTTAAATTTTGATTTTAATTTCTATCAAACAGGGACAAATATAACAAATTGACTTTGTGCTATTTATTTGTCCATAAAACAAATTTTATTAAATTTCGTTGTCAAAAAAGTAATGTGTATCTTTCGTTGAGTTAATTATTCAGGTCCATGACTGGTTACTGAAATTTAAAATGACGAGTTTTAGCCATTGAACTTAGGTTCGTATTTTCAATTGCTTACTGAAGTTTAAAGTGTTGAGTTTTTATTACTGAAATTTGAAAAATGTTGTACATTACTCACTGTAAACTCGATATTTTTGAAAATACAATATTTATGCTAGTGAGGAATGTACGGTATTTTCCCAAAGTTCAATGATCAAAATTCAACATTTTTAAATTTCGGTAAGCAATCGAAAATATGGACCTAAATTCAGTGACTAAAACTCGACATTTTAAATTTCAGTGATCAATCAAAGACATGGAGTTAACTTCAATTACCATTGGAACAATTAATTCTCTTTTGTTATTTGTCTGGTGTACCAAATTATTCATTAATTTAAGATTCGTATAAGTTCATTATTTCATAGCGCGCATTGATACAGAAGTTAATATCAAATCATTTTAGCATTCTCGCCAAGGTTGTGTTATTTGAACAGATGTACCCTTAACTAGTTGAAAAACACTTCTTGCCCAGGCTTAAAGCCAGGATCAGCCCCTATGTATTTAGCCCAGGCTTTAAGCCCGGCATATAGCAAGTTTCTAATTAATTTTAGCAATTTACACATCCTCAAATAACGTAAATTTTGAACAAAACATATTTTACTAAAATACTCTTAATATATATTTTGATCAAATTAAAGCATGTATAATATGTGTTTAAAAGCAAGTCAGTTTTACTTTTAAAGTAGTAAACTCAAATTTTAAATCTTTTCTAACTAATTAAACTTTTTAATGTAATTAAAACGTAACTTTTATTGTTTAACACCTATTAAAAATGTGATCTAAATTTAAAATCCGATTTTAAAGACTTTCTGGTGAAGAGTAATGAAAAGATCAAAAAAAGCTTAGCTATAATTCTGAACTTCCTACATATATAAAAGAGCGAAAGAAATAGTCGGACACGTGTTGCAAATATGTATCGTCCTCTGTTTTTTTTTTCCTTGCGTTTCATTAGCTGAAAAGCTTGTCCTTTTTGTCCATTCTTCCACGCAACCTACCACTCATTTGCACTACCACCACTCTTGCACTACTCTTCTTCTTCATCTTCTTTCCCTTCTTTCCAAAAATCCAAACAATTGAAATCTGTTTGAATTCGAATTTGTAAAAGAAGGCTAAATTGCACATATTATTGTTCTGAGTTCATCTATTACTCCTGTAAGTTACGCGGTTACTTTCTTTCTATCTATTTAAATAGAATCGATTGAATTTGTAAAATTTAATTCAGTCGAATTTCAACACGAATTGCATCGGTGGGCAAATAAGTCTTCCCGAGACTCCACGCAACGCAGAGATATGTGGTCAGATTAAATGAATTGCAAGATTATTAGGGTGAATTTGTTTGTGCGGAAATTAGCTATTTATATTTTTCTTTCTTAATTTTTCATTCAACAAATTAATACTTCAATTATGTTTCAGTATTGGATATACTAAACCTTTGGACAAAAATTTCGATGCTATAGATATAAAACATTACAGAGTTCAAATGGAAGCCAAACGGTTAAGCAATTTTTAACTACTTAAGAGGTCGTGCATTTAATCATGATTTTTTAAAAAGAAATTCAAAAGAAATCATTCCAATATGTGTTATAGCATACAAAAGAATTACCGGGAGAGAGGCTTTAGATCAATTCCATTTCAGGAAAAAAAGAAAACAGAAATACAAACAACGGGATAGGATTTGTTGCTCTCTACGCAGTAACACGTGCGTCTCCTCACATCTCCTATTTTTTTCCCATCTTCTGCTCTACACTTTAACTCTAAAACTTGCAGCTCTCATTTCTTCTTTTCCATGCCTTTCTTCTCAACTTCCCAATTTTTTGAGAAATGTTAGGGTCGTTAGTTTTTGGTGAAATTTTAATCAAATTTAATTAGAACGTGCCAATGAACAAAAATCAGCAGCTTTGCTATTAATGTGGCGCCAATTTTGGACAAATTCCTTCTTTTAGATCTTCGTTTATGCGTTGTTTCTTTTTAGTAAGTTTTGTTTCGCTTACATATCAATGAATTTAAGCTGGATTTGAATTCTGTTTATTGGAATATAATCCTTAAATTAGGACTCTCAATCTTAGTCATTATCTTTATTTTTTTCATTTCAGAAAAATCTTTTTTATTATTTTTTAATTTTTCAAAAATTTTATAGATTTTTGCTATATAAAGCATTGTAATTGATTGACAAAGGAAAAAAAATATAAAAAAAATTGGAGTTTTTCTTTTTTTACTAATGTGAAACTTTGGGTCATATGATTTTTTAGTTGTGATTATAATACTTACAATGCTTTGATTACAATGGTAATGAGATAACGACAGCGGCTCTAAAATTCCTCTTCTTACTTACGGTAAAGAGGTAGATTGAGGCTTAACTGTTTTTTATCTTGTTTTAAGCATATTATTGTTATTTTATGAGTTAAAAATTTTGATGGAGGACTCATCAATGATATTTATTCTAGGTTAAGTTCCGTGTTAAAGTTTTTGATGAAAATTTGCATTTTGATCAAGGATGATATGATCTATGCTCTCATTATTTTACCATCCATAGGTTAGGAAAGCGAATCCATCCTATACCATTTTCTGATTCCTCCATGACTAGTAATTTCTTTCATATTTACTAGAGCAGTTCCCTAATTAATTTGCTAGGATTTAATAGAAGGTTAATTTAACTACTGATATGGCAATTCTACCCCACTCGATGATCCTAAGAAAGAAGAATGGAGGAATGGAAGAAAATGCATAATGATAAACTTCAAGTAGTGAAACATTGAGGAGATAAAGGAGTAAACAATGGTAGAGATGAGATGATGATCCTGATTTACCCAAGTAGGTCCGCCTGTTTTATTTCATTTATCATATACTGCTTTACAACATCTGACTTTAGTGTTTTTATGTTCTATGATTTGGTCCATCAGATTGCATCCACTTTCCGTTGGGCTAGTTTTTATAAGTTTAAACAAATCGAATAAACCATTG